CTGTCCCCCCTGTCCCCCCTGTCCCCCCCTGTCCCTGTCCCCGTCCCGGTACCGCCACTTCCGGCAGCGGCCGCGAGCCCGGAGCGCGCGGGGCCGGGAATGGGCGGGGCCAAGCGCGGCGCCGAGCGCGGTGATTGGCTGAGGGCTCCGATGGGCGGGGACACGCGCCATATACGGGCATGGCACCGCGGTGGGCGGGGCTAAAGGAGGTGAGAGCAACGGGGTGGGCGTGGCTTGGGGAGGGAGGGGCTAATTAGGGTAATTAGGGCTGGGGATGGGGATTTGGGCGTGGTTATGGAATGGGAGGGGTTAATTAGGGTAATTAGGGCTGGGAATGAGGATTTGGGCGTGGTTATGGGGTGGGCGGGGCTAATTAGGGTAATTAGAGGTGGGATATTGGGTGTAGTTAAGAATGGGCGGGGCTAATTAGGGTAATTAGGCTGGAGATATTCTATTGGATGTGGTTATGGGGTGGGTGGGGCCAATTAGGGTAATTAGGGCTGGGGGATGGAATTTGGGGCGTGGTCATGGCTGGGCGGGGCTAATTAGGGTAATTAGGGCAGGGAATGGGGATTTGGGCGTGGCTATGGAATGGGCGGGGTTAATTAGGGTAATTAGGGCTGGGGATATGGATTTGGGCATGGTTATGGGGTGGGCAGGGCTAATTAGAGTAATTAGGGCTGGAGATGGTCTACTGGGTGTAGCTTGATGTGGGCGGGGCTAATTAACATAATTAGGGGCATGTTATGATGTGGGCAGGGCTAATTAGGGTAATTAGAGGTGGGAATGGGGGTTTGGGCGTGGTTATGGAATGGGCGGGGCTAATTGGGGTAATTAGAGGTGGGATAGTGGGTGTGGTTGTGGGTGGGCGGGGCTAATTAGGGTAATTAGGGCTGGGGAATGGGATTTGGGGCATGGTCATGGCTGGGCGGGGCTAATTGGGGGCGTGTCCAGGTGAGACCAGGAGGGGATCCCAAATCTCCAAATCCCAAACCCCAAACAACAAACCCCAAATCCCAATCCCAAACCCCAAATCCCAATCCCAAACCCCAATCCCAAATTTCAATCCCCAAATCCCAAACAAAATCCGCCAATCCCAATCCAAATCCCCAATCCCAACCCCAAACCCCAAATCCCAAATCCCCAATCCCAAACCCAAATCCCAAATCCCCAATCCCAATCCCAACCCCAACCCCAAACCCCAAATCCCAAATCCCNNNATCACTCCATCCCTGGGACCTCCATCCCAGTACTGACATTCCCCAGGATCTCCATGGCCCAGGATTCCTATTCCCACAGGACACCCCATTCTTCCAGCATCCCCATCCCCTGACCCCAAATCCCTGGAGCCCACGTTCCCCTGGCACTCCCATCCCTGAGTCCCCCCAGCCCTGGGCACCCCCATACCTATTGCACCCCCATCACCAGTGACTCCCCCTCTTCAGGACCCCTATTCCCTGTCCCCGTCCCGGTACCGCCACTTCCGGCAGCGGCCGCGAGCCCGGAGCGCGCGGGGCCGGGAATGGGCGGGGCCAAGCGCGGCGCCGAGCGCGGTGATTGGCTGAGGGCTCCGATGGGCGGGGACACGCGCCATATACGGGCATGGCACCGCGGTGGGCGGGGCTAAAGGAGGTGAGAGCAACGGGGTGGGCGTGGCTTGGGGAGGGAGGGGCTAATTAGGGTAATTAGGGCTGGGGATGGGGATTTGGGCGTGGTTATGGAATGGGAGGGGCTAATTAGGGTAATTAGGGCTGGGGATGGGGATTTGGGCGTGGTTATGGAATGGGAGGGGTTAATTAGGGTAATTAGGGCTGGGAATGAGGATTTGGGCGTGGTTATGGGGTGGGCGGGGCTAATTAGGGTAATTAGAGGTGGGATATTGGGTGTAGTTAAGAATGGGCGGGGCTAATTAGGGTAATTAGGCTGGAGATATTCTATTGGATGTGGTTATGGGGTGGGTGGGGCCAATTAGGGTAATTAGGGCTGGGGGATGGAATTTGGGGCGTGGTCATGGCTGGGCGGGGCTAATTAGGGTAATTAGGGCAGGGAATGGGGATTTGGGCGTGGCTATGGAATGGGCGGGGTTAATTAGGGTAATTAGGGCTGGGGATATGGATTTGGGCATGGTTATGGGGTGGGCAGGGCTAATTAGAGTAATTAGGGCTGGAGATGGTCTACTGGGTGTAGCTTGATGTGGGCGGGGCTAATTAACATAATTAGGGGCATGTTATGATGTGGGCAGGGCTAATTAGGGTAATTAGAGGTGGGAATGGGGGTTTGGGCGTGGTTATGGAATGGGCGGGGCTAATTGGGGTAATTAGAGGTGGGATAGTGGGTGTGGTTGTGGGTGGGCGGGGCTAATTAGGGTAATTAGGGCTGGGGAATGGGATTTGGGGCGTGGCCATGGCTGGGCGGGGCTAATTGGGGGCGTGTCCAGGTGAGAGCAGGAGGGGATCCCAACTCTCCAAACCCCAAACCCCAACAACAAACCCCAAATCCTAATCCCAAATCCCAAATCCCCAACCCCAAACCCCAAATCCTAATCCCAAACCCCAATCCCAAATTTCAATCCCCAAATCCCAAACAAAATCCGCCAATCCAAATCCCAAATCCCCAATCCCAACCCCAAACCCCAAATCCCAAATCCCCAATCCCAAACCCAAATCCCAAATCCCCAATCCCAATCCCAACCCAAACCCCAAACCCCAAATCCCAAATCCCAAATCCCAAATCCCAAAACCCCCAATCCCAAATCCCAGTCCCAAATCTCAATCCCCAATCCCAACCCCAAATTCCAAATCCCCAAAACCCAAATCCCAATCCCCACATCCCAAAATCCCAAATCTCAAATCCCAAATCTCAATCCCCAGCCCCCGCCCGGCCCCCTTCCCCTCCCCCGGGATAAATCCCAAATCCCAAATCCCAAATTCCCAATCCCCAATCCCAAACCCCCAAATCTCAATCCCAAATCCCAAATCTCCAACCCTAAATCCCCAATCCTGATTCCCAAATCCCAACCCCAATCTCAAATCCAAAATCCCAAATTCCCAAATCTCAAACCCCAAACCCCAAATCCCAAATTTCCAGTCCTAAATCCCAAATCCCTACGTTCCCCAAATCCCAACCCCAATCTCAAATCCAAAATCCCAAATTCCCAAATCTCAAACCCCAAACCCCAA